ACAATTACCCTATTCTTTTAGGATAACCATGCATATGAAACTATATATATTAATTTGCTAATAATTTAGAGGATCTAATTTAGAATACATTGCACATAAGAACTAAGATCAGTAGTAAAAAGTTAAATACAGAAAATAAACTTACATTGTTATTACTTGCTATGGCTTTAATCTTTTGGTTGATTCAAAATTTTCTACATTTATTTGCATTTTTCTACAGAATTTTGCATTCTTCATTATTTTTTTAAAATTGGCTTCACTCTTAAATAGTGCTCACTGTGTGGGTTAATTTGAAAATATGTAGAAGTTGATGGGCCATTTTGTAATGGCAAGGCACAAGTTGGGATAAGAACGGAGTAAATGCATTTCAATCTTTTAGGTAACAGCGTAATTTAAATTGGATTTACGTACTAAATTTGCACAATGGCCCACACGGGCTCACTCTAATTCTCGTGTTAATGATTATTAGTTCATGATTAGGTGTATCACTCAATTGTGGATTAACACAAATTAAATTAGATTCCTTAGCTTTGCCTTTTGTAATAATTAGGTGCAACTGTTTTTACTTATAATCTTAATGCCTGGAACATTTTATTTTCCCTTTAAGGTTATGCCATGCCATCCACAAAATGTTATAGCTACATTGTTGATATTTCATGACCGTAGAAAACGAAATTATTTCTGAAATCAGGTGTAGTAACATTTGCTATACCAATTATCCAATATTGGTTCGTTACATAGATGTAAATATGATTTTTTTTTATTCCTCATTATTTTTTAATTCAAATAATATCTATTTGAAGAATAAAAAGACATTTTTAAAGACTAGGATTATGGTGATTATTATTTACTGAAAAGCATAGTTTTTTTACCTGGACTGGCCCAGCGGATCGACCTGGAGCCGGAACCGGTTCCGGTGGGCTATTTGGACCGGGCAGCAAAATACCTGGTCAAAACCCAGCCAACTGGGGCATTGACCCGGCCGGGTCAACCGACCCGGTCGGGATCAACCCGGTTGACCCGGCCCGTATATATATATATATATATTTTTTTTTTTTTTTTGTTTTTTAAAAATAAAACTATGTATACATGTTTATATGGTAAATATTTATCATGAGATACATATTGTTAACACTTTAATGTACAAAATTTATACACAAAACATTTAATTTTGTTACCTTCATGTATATTTATATGACAAAAATACTCTATATATAATTTTAAAAATTATACACAAAACATATTTAATGTACAAAACATATGTTTTGTGTACAAAATTACAAAACATATTTTAAAAATTATACACAAAACATATGGTAAATATTTATCATGAGATGCATATTATTAACACTTTAATGTACAAAATTTATACATAAAACATTTAATTTTGTTATTTTTATGTATATTTATATGACAAAAATACTCTATATATAATTTTAAAAATTTAAAAATTAGTTATCCGGTTCAACAATTGACTCGGTGACCCAGAGACCTGCCCGGGTCGATTACCCGGCACTATGTTGAAAAAGGGTCAATCATCTTGTAATTTCCATTAAAAGTGATTTATTAGAAACAATTCAAGATACAATAAGCCTACCATAAATTTTCAATAGACATACTTTAATAGTGAAATAGCCCTTTACAAAACAAAACATAAACAAAAGTTACAAAAGTATAACATTTTAGTGCATAAGTATGTATTTTTGTGAAAGAAGTTTGATGTATCTACACATCTAACGGTTAAGTTGTCTCACTAAAAAATTTTGTGTTATAAATAAAAGCTGCATAAAATGTAAAATCAATCAGGACTCATCTAACGACTAACTCACACAAAAATTTGTTTTCTAGTTAAAGGTTGCAAAAAAGTAAAGTTAATCTGGACTAAATTAATCAGAATTGTCTATTAAATGTGATTATAATTAGGATTATGACAGTGATATATTTTCATTTTTTAGTATATATATAATTTGAGGATAAGGAGAACTATTTTAAAAAATGATGTGAAGAAGGTGTTGAATGGTCATATATTAAATATTTTTGTTCATAGAACTTGAAATTCAAAAGGCAAATTGTTTTCGTTTTCTCACACACTCAGTTCTCCAAGATTTCTGTAACATGTTGATTAATTCTCGTTCCGTATTTCAAATCTTTGCTAAAACTTAAAAAATAATTCGGTGGTCAAACAAATTCATATGAACGCGCTATTCAATAGTTATATGAAATCTGTTGATCCATTGACCTAAAAGATAACGTACAAAAATATATGTGAAATTCGGCTAAAGCTGTTGACTTTTTTCATGCATCTGTTTATTTTCATTTTTTCCAGCCGTATGCCCCACATGTCTGTTTGAATAAACACACACACTGACACACACAAAACAAAAGAAGAATGAGATAATATATGGGTAGACTTGTATTATTATTGATTAATGTGGTATTATTAAATAATAATGGTCAAAAGTCTATTTGATTAATGCAAAGGAGTGATGCCAAAAGACAGGGTTAGTAGTATATATGTACTTGGAAGTTGGAAGTTGGATCTCTACAAAATCACATGTGAGATCATATAGTGTAAAATGATATATTTTTATCATATACATATGCTATGACACGATATATTCTTGTTTACATTGCCACATTTGAGTATCAAAGCAACCTAATAATTACACACGCATTCTTTTTTATCATGACATTTGAGTATAAAAGTAACCTAATAGTTATACATCACTACTTTTAAACTAAAATGTCATTTTCTAAAAGACAATATAAATAAAAGTATAGCACTACACAACCTACGTATTCAATTACGTTAAAAAAAAGTATAATATAATAGATTGACTAGCCTAATAGTTAAAAACAAGTTCCGAGCATCTCAACGAAAGCAATTTAAAAGAAAACGGAAAATTAAACAATGTCGAGAAGAATGACGTGAGCATATGGATTGAGAGAATGCAAACACACCAATGAACTTAATGACTGAACAGTTAGAAATGAAGCTTTATGTTTGCCAAGCTACTGATTATGAGGATTATAGACTATAAATTCACCTACGCTCAACAGAATTGGACTGAAAAACGAAAGCAATTTAAAAGAAAACGGAAATAAAACAACGTCGATAGGGAGAATGCAAACACATCAATGAACTAAATGACTAAACAGTTAGTAATGCTGCTTTATGTTTGCCAACGTACGGATTATATGTTGTGAATCCTCTAATACTATATTCACCTATTCTCAACAAAACTGAACTGGATTCAATCTATACTCATTGATAAATCAGCTATCCACAAACATAAGTCCAGTAATCTATCTCAGAAAAAAACTTCCAATACCTCGTTCAAGCAAAAAAATCTGAACAAAAAGCATCGGCCATGTTTGATCCTCCACAAGCTAAGCAATTTCTTATTCTCTTCTATACTCCTCTCTTTGTTCTCTCTTTTTATTAGCTTTGAAATTAGAAAAAATGAAAAGGACTAAATTTAACCCATTCTGTTGGGCCTGAACGAAAACGAATAGTATAGATATATTGTATGCGGCCCACTTTATCTTATTTGGATCAAACTCACGGCGAAAGGACGCATATATGTTCTGGTTAGACATGGCCACGGGTCAACCGGCCCGCCGACCCGGCCCGAACCCGACACGGGCCCGGCCCGGTCAAACCCGTTGACCACGGTCCGGGCCCGGCTCGGATTTTCAACCGGGCCGGTTCAGGGTCGTTTTTTTTCGACACCAACCCGGTGTCGTCTTTTTTTCGACACCGACCCAGCGGGCCGGGCTGGGTCCGGTTCGACACGAGAAAAATCAATTGTTTTTGAATTTTTCTATTTTTTCTCTTTTTTTTTTTTTAATTTTTTCGGGTCAGACCCGGGTCGGGCCCGGCCCGGCACGGGTTTAGGGCGTGCCGGTTCAGGGTCGACAAAACCCAACCCGTCGGGCCCTGAACCGGCCCGCCATTTGGCCATGTCTAGTTCTGTTAAAAAAACTGTTCCCAATCTATGAGAACTATAAAATAATTCCACCTACAAACTCCAGAGCCTTTTTATTACGAAGCCTGTAAATAATTCCAGCTATTTAATTATTCAAAAGCCTTTTTATTTGAAAACCATACAGTTATCTTTTATAAATGCATTTAGATCATTTTCAGTTTACCTTAAACTTATTACATTATCTCTATTAAAAATTAATTTGAATTTATGGTTTATCATAAGTATATTTTAAGTATATTTTTTATTTTTTTACTAAATCATAAAAAAACTGGTTAATCTTAAGTATATTTTAAGTATATCATAAGTATATTATCTATTTTCTTTACTAAATCATAAAAAAATGGTTAATCTAAAGTATATCTTAAGTATATCATAAGTATATTATCTATTTTTTTAACTAAATCATTAAAAACTTATTAATTTGAAGTATATCTTAAGTATATTATCAATAAATCATAAAAAATTAATTAATCTTAAGTATATCTTAAGTATATTATTTATTTTTTTAATAAATCATAAAAAATTAATAGACAAAAAAATCAAAAGCAAAAAATAAACTAAATATAAACCATAGTTAAAACAAAAAATACAATCAATAACTAAAATCAACTCAAATAAACATCAAATTAAATATGAAAAAGTTGCTTCCAAAGAACTTTTCTACAAACTATTTAAGCCAGTCAGCTCTCTACCAATTTCTCACAATTTGCAGCGGTCACGTTTTCCATCCGCCGCCGAATGCGAAGGTCACGTTGGAATTTTGCCGGGGTAGCTCAGATCTTAAATCCAGCAACTCATAAATCTAAAATCAAACCTACACAACAAAAAAGGAATTTAAAATAGATAATATACTTAAGATTTTTCACCAAGCCTTCAATAAAAATTGAAATTTAGGACAGAGGAAAAAACTCACCAGAGCTGAATAAGGTGAAAGGAAAAACAGCAATAAGCGAGCTCACCACAGAAAACAAAATAATGAGAGCAAATCTTATTACCATTCTCTCAGTTTTATCATTCATTGGCTAATCCAAATTCTTCACATCCACAGATGAAGCACAAAGCAGAAAAATCTAAGCAGCCCTTATTCCCGGACACCTCAATCCCACCTCCTTCTTCCGCGCCGACACACTCAACCCAGACCAACCATTCTTCTATCAACTCCCAAACCCGGAACAACCCCACGACCACCACGCCGACGGCAAATTCGGTCGCCACGGACACATCTAAGACTGTAAATTCACGCATCTCAGACTGTAAATTCGGCGGCAGTGGACGCTGCAGGCAACATGAGGAGGGAGTCGAAGGGAAGAAGATCTCGAAGCGGGGGTGAACCTCCGTTGGCGGCGAGATGCAGACCTTCTGAACGAGGAGGATTAGGTTTGTGTGGAGAGAATTAATGAGGGTTTCAAAGAGCATATTCTGGAATTAGAGTGGCTACATTCTCGTAAATATGAATCACTTAACATTTAAGTGGATTGAAATTTTTAAACTCATTATTTGGTTAAAAAAAAAGAAATGAGGTAGTATAGGGGGTAATTTTCTCCAAACTCTAGCCCATCAGATATATCTGGGCTAGAGAAAAACTTCATACATAATTTATCGACATGTTTAAGAATGTAGCATTAATATGAAAACCCAACTCTTTCCATGAGGCCCGCAACCAAGCTAAAGTAGTTTATGTTCAATAACGGGTTCGTTTAATCTCTTAAAAGCTCGATTTATCTCGGCTCCTTTAATATACCTAAAACTTTAAATGAGTTGCTCACTAATATTAAATGTCCATTTGCAAATAAGTTTAGATCATCCATTTCATTTAAAACTCATGAAATTAGTTACATGCAAAGTTACTTGTTCGCGAACAAATTCCATTAGTTATTCGAACTAAGTTGGTTCACACTTTCACAAGTCAAACTAAGTGGTGTTTGCGAATCAACGTTAATAACTATAATAATTCTACAGTCTCGTTGTCTTTAATTGAATCAATGTTAACTATACTTATTCACATTTAGTATATTGTTTGATATCTCGTGCATCATAGTAATTTATTAAATGATATTATTTTTTATACATATAAAAAAATTAATTTCTAATATTTATAAATTATAATATTCAATAAAATCTACAATTACTAATTCCATATGGTGACACACCACCATACCATACTCCCCAAGAAGCTTCGGCTGCTTGTTAAAGGTGAAGTTTCACTTTTTACTTTTCTTTTTTATCCGTTATTCGATTTTCACACATCTATTCCGACTCTATGTGTTGTTTTTAGCTGTCGAATTTTGGTCCTTTATAACCCTTGTTCACGATCGGGGCGTCATAATTAGTTTGACATATTATATCAAAAAAATTAACCATATTGCATAATTATTTTGACAAATTTAAAACTCTAAAACACTAAATCAGTTTAGTTTAGTGTTTGGAAGTTTTAAATATTCAGATCACTATGGATTTCTCCAATATTTGTTTTCTTAAATAAACAATAGTCATATAGATATTATTTCTATATTTAATTTTTTATATTATTAAACAAAATATTCTTTTCCATAATTGTTTTTTCTAATATATTTTTCCTTGAATAAAATAATATCCAATTGCACATAAAAGGAGTTCTTCATTCCTACGCACCCACGGTGCCACGGCTACCGAACAATTGAGGGCATATGTACTCGCCGCATGAACATGTTAACCACGGTAAAAATAAACCTAACCTAACTCATCACACATTCCCCCGGAGATCTCTACACGTGTCTTTCCTTCAACGGCTAGGATCTATCTCTCCATATATAAACTCCCCAATGGATCCCCTATATAAATCCTCCCCACCCAATTATAAAACCCTAACACCGAGACGAAAAAATTACTCGCCCCTTAATCAGAAAAACCTCCCAAATAAAAAAATTCAAATTCAATATGTCGAATCCCAGGGTTTTCTTCGACATGACGATCGGTGGCCATCCCGCCGGGCGGATCGTGATGGAGCTCTTCGCAGACGTGGTCCCGAAGACAGCCGAGAACTTCCGCGCCCTGTGCACCGGCGAGAAGGGCGTCGGAAAATCCGGCAAGCCCCTCCATTACAAGGGGTCGACCTTCCACCGCGTGATCCCCAATTTCATGTGCCAGGGCGGCGATTTCACGGCGGGAAACGGCATCGGCGGCGAGTCGATCTACGGCGCCAAGTTCGCCGACGAGAACTTCGTGAGGAAGCACACCGGGCCGGGGATCCTGTCGATGGCGAACGCCGGGCCGGGGACCAACGGCTCGCAGTTCTTCATCTGCACGGGGAAGGCGGAGTGGCTCGACGGCAAGCACGTGGTGTTCGGGCAGGTGGTGGAAGGGTACGACGTCGTGAAAGTGGTGGAGGAGACCGGGTCGGGGAGCGGCAGGACCTCGAGGCCGGTGGTGGTCGCCGACTGCGGCCAGCTTTATTGATGTCGGAACCGTCTTGCTGAATACAGAATAAAGATAGATTTTTTTAATTTTTTTTTATCTATTTGGTTTTTTTTTTCTTTTTTCTTTTTTGGTTTTGAATTTTAACTCGCAATTCATAATTGAAGTTGGAATTTGACATGTTAGTTTTATTGAAAAAATGAAATATGTGGACTATGAGTGAAATTGTCAAATTGGTGTATATTATAAATTGAAATTGGGCTTCAAGTGTGCTAAATATAAACTACCGTTTGGGCCTGGACTATGAAGTGTTCTCTTAACCCATATAACAAATTAACAATATTCATGTGTCCAGATATTTGCTATCATAATAGGTCATGTTTAAAGAGCTTGATTGAATTATGCTAAAATGATGAAAAATTAGGTAAAAAGTCCCAATTAAAAAGGTGTTAATATTTACCTCCCATCTGACTATTTTGCCCCTAAATTTTTTTCAAAAACCTAAAAAATTGTAAAATCTCCTCTACCAGGTGATTTTCATGTCGTCCGACGAGGTGTGTCTGGCCGACCGACGATTGTTGTCACGCCGGCCCAGGCCGGCGGCCATTGGCGTACGCAATCTGTGGACGGTCATCCCCATGCACGGCTAACTAGCCGGCCGACCACGATCGAGCGCGGCCGCAATCGTCGGTCGGACGGCAGTGCGTTCGGTTTCGCCGGCTGGCCAATTTTTTTATGAATTAGTTAATTTTATTTATGAAAAAAAATTTTATGTTATAGATCACAATTGATTCTCTTATAAATTAGAATTACTATAATGTTAGAACTTAGAAATTATTATCGTAGGAGGCGTTCCGAACGAACAAGCTGCTTAACGAGATAGTCGTTGTGTATTCCTTCATTGTTGCATGTGATAAAATGGGCTGCACATTATTTCGGGTTGCCCTTCCCATAAAATTGTTGGAACTTGGGAGGTTGGTATCAAACAATCAACCTTAAGTTATCAATTTTTTATGTATATGGTTTGACGTAGCTACGGGATGATTTGGAACCGCTATCAAGCTTATCTTTAAGTGTCCCTATAATAAAATTTTTGAGTTGATTGACAGGGGTCATTCCCTCAGGGGAGAATTGGAATGTTGGCGTCTTATTTCTTTCATCACATCGTTCTTGTTTGGATGTTTAAGCCTCGTTACGTTCTTCTGTTGTTTACCCGTCATGCGTCTCGTTTCAACATTGTCAACCTTGTCCATTAGCTTTGAGATGTGAGAGCCTTGCTCTTGGATATTCTTCGCGAGCCATTCAATAACCTTTTTTAAGATTGTGATAAAATACTAAAATATTGATGTGTACGCTCTGGTCAAAGAGTCTTGATTTGATTTAATTTCAAAATAATTTACACTCTTGACGAAAGAGTTAATCATTTGATTTGATTTAAAAATAATTTATACTCATGTCAAAAGAGTTCTTCTATTTATGGAATTTTTATACTCGTGTCAAGAAGTCTTCAAATTTGCAGACATTTTATGCTCGTGTCAAGAAGATTTCGAATGTGCATTTAACCTCATATCAAGGAATCTTCAAATTCGTAGACATTTATGCTCATGTCAAAGAGCTTTGTAGATATTTTAGGCTCGTATAAGGAGAATTGTAGATAATTTAACCTCATGTCAATGAGATTTTAAATAGTTTATGCTTATATCAAGGATCATTTAAATTTTTAGATAATTTAGGATCGTAAGAAGGAGTATTGTAGATAGTTTACACTGAGCCTTGTTAAGAGAAATTTACACCCCATACAAACATATTTAATTTATATAACACTTTTACACCCCTTATATTCTTATTTATAAAATTACCTAAAGAAGCTAAAAATATTTCAATTTTACCTAAAATACATTGTTTAACAGTTATTACCTTTTTATCTGCACATTAAATGCTAATGAGATAATTAATTTAAATTAAAGATGCACTTACCTAAAAAATAGGAATTGTTGATCTGAATCATCCTTTAATTGCTGATCTGAAACCCCTTGATCTGCTAGTCTCCCAATCGATGATGATCTAAAATTCCCACAAACAAAAAAGTTGCGAAAAAAAAAATCAAAGAAGGAGGTATACGGAGAGCTTAAAAGAAGGAGGGACTATGGACATGAGGGCTAAATTGCCGGTTGTGTTTTGTGATCAAGTTTGTTTTTATTAGTTAGTTCGAGATTATCAGTTGTTTTTTGCAAGTTTTAAATTCGGCACGAGGTTCTGTATGAATCTAGATTTCATTTTTCTTTGTTTCCAACCCGGCCCGGACATGGCATGTGATTATTATCCATTCAGGTTTCATATGTCTTTGCCAAGCTTATTTAAGAATGATGACCGGCCAAAATCTTGATATGTCTTTTGCCAAGCTTTTTTAAAAAAATTATGAACGGTGAATAAGAATTGAATTCGAAAGTTAAATTATGAAGGAGGAGACGAAAAAAAATTAAACTAGAAATATACTGTTAATAAAAACGTGAAAGATATATTGTTAATAAAACGTGAAATATACTGTTAATAAACTAGAAATATATTGTTAATAAAAACGTGAAAGATATACTGTTAATAAAACGTGAAATATACTATTAATAAACTAGAAATATACTGTTAATAAAAATGTGAAAGATATACTGTTAATAAAACGTGAAATATACTGTTAATAAACTAGAAATATTTATGATCGACCCGTCTCGTTTTTTTTTCTTTATAAAAGTTCACGTCCTCGTTTTTTTCAGGTATATTTTCGGTATATTTCCAGTAAAATCAGAATCATGTACAGTTGAATGAACTTTAAAATTAGAAAATATACCTCACGTTTATCATACACTGAATATATACTAATATAAACGCAATATATACCGAATATATACTAACATACTAACATAAATATAATATTTTTCATTGCAACATACACTGAATATATATTAACATAAACGCAATATATATCCAATTGAACAGTTGCGTGAATTACCATACATGTTTTTATCATTATGTGGTTTGATGAAGAGTATAGTTCAAATTCTAATTTCATATATTTTTATTTTTTGCGCAAAACCCTTTAATCTCTGATTTTTCATTTCATATTCATGAAAAGAGAAAAGAAATTTGAGATGTGCACTGTGGCGGGAGTCCAAGTCCTGGTTGATTAAAAAACAATCCACACATTAGATGGAAGCGTATTTGATTTTCATCAAATATTTTTTTTTTCTTCTTTTAGTAACGTACCTAAAATCATGCAGAAAAAAGGACATGGAGGTCCACCTTTTTAGGTAACTGCTTTTAGGCTTTAGTGGTTAAAGAATAAAGAATTAGGCAGAGTTACAATTATTTGTTTACCATTTGTATTATTGTAATATTTTCAATTTCGTGTAGGAGACACAAAAATTTCCCCCTTGTTAATATGACAATTGACAAACCTTGATTTCCATAATCTTTATATATATAATAAGAATTACCATTTTTCAAAATTAGTAAGTCAAATTTCGGTCAACATTAATTACCTACTATTCTTAGTAACTTTTTTGTTTTTTATTTTTCAAAAATTTCCAGCAGCATTAAATTATGCCTAAATTGGTGGGTTTGGTTTCATTAAGTTTTGAAAATTTCAATCATTTGAATATAATTTTAAATACAAAATCCCTCTTATTTGATTTTAAAAATTTGATTGTGAGATTCCAAACAATCCGAAAATTTTGTCTTTGAAAATTTGAGTTGTCTCATTTTGGTTGCCGGGCTTAATTCAAAATCCCTTCCTAATATAAAAGATTTTGTTCAAATTGAATTCCAAAAAAATCTAATCACATGCTTTTATTCTTGACGGATAAATAAAATCATTCCATAGATTAAGGATATTAGGCCACTTTAAATTAACAAACATCTTTAAAATTACCAAATCATAATAAATTTAGATTTAATTGGTTTCAATTTGTACGAAATTCATAATGGTTTAAGAATTTCAAATCAATTGAAATTCATCTCTTTATTTTTTTCTTCAAGTTCAAATTTTACAATAAGTAAGTCAAATTTCAAATTTATTGTTTCAAAAATCTTTATATATATATATATATATATATATATATATATNAATAACCATTAACTCAAAATAGTATACATATATATATATATGCATATATTATAAAAATAACCATTAACTCAAAATAGTAGCAAAAAGATAGGTCAAAATTTAATGCAACCCATAAATAATAAGTTTTATTATTTTTTTTAATTTTTTTCTTTAAAAAATCATACAACATTAAATGCTACCTTAAATTTCGAGCTTTAGTTTATTTTAGTATTTAAAAAATTCGGCTAAGATAAATTAAGTGTGCATGTTTTTATTTTTATTTTGTTTTCTTAGAAACAACCAACAACATTAAAATCTCGTTCTCTATATTTATAATATCTCAATTCAAAATATAATAAAAGTTTTAGAATCTCAGTCTTTATATTTGTGTCTTTCAGAGAAAAGTATTGAATGCTAAAATATTCTTTAAATTGCATAATCTATCAATTCATTTTAATTTTTTAAAAATTACAATGTTTATTTTTTATTAATATGCATAAAGTAAAAATAATTAATTCATCATTAGATATATAATTTATAAGCTTAATATACTATAATTTGGTTTAGACATTTATTATATGAATCATAAAATATTTTTATTTTGTAAAATTAAATATATTTAAAGAAAATAAGAAAATTTATTTGGAGCAATCGGGTTATTGAACTAGGGTACTATCCAGGTTGGTTGAATTTCTTTTAAGTGATATTTAAAATAGTAAAAAAAACTTGACACAATTTGGATGGTCACAGGTGACTAAGTTATGTATCAGTTTGACCATACCAAATCGATTATTGAACCTAAATATAAATTTAATATTGCCAATACTTTATTACGTAATGTAATGTAGTCGAATTGTCCAAACTTCAAATAATCATATTAACAATACATTTATGACAACATGTTTAATGATTAATGAATATTTATATATCATTTAATTAATATTTATGTGAATAAATAATATTTTATTATAATTTTTACTAATGTCCAGTGAATATAATTTTCAGAATCGAACTGTCATCGAAACGATTAAGTTATTCTATTAAATCAATTGTGGTTTGTTCA